CTTGATCATATGATAAGGTATTCCAGAGGCTCTAGGGTATTCAATAAGGCATGAGGGTATTCTATATCAGTGCATTCCATATGAAAGGTTTCAAGATACATAGAGAAAGTATTCTACAGGACATCCTATAAGATATTCTATAGTGTCGTGTAGAGTGTCCTATAGGGTATGTGTAATATAATGCGTGCGGTGTCATATGTGTTCAAGGTACATATACTGTATACATGGACTGTCATATATAGGGCCATAGGGGCATTCTGTGAGGTCTTCTTTGGAGTATTCCAGACGGTCTTCCATGAGGAGTGCGATATATAGAGGGTACTATGTGTTCCATAAGGTATTCTGTAGGGTATTCTATGTCGTATTCTGTAAGGTACTTTGGATATTCAAAAGATATACGGGCCATGACTGAAAGTATCAGAAGCTCTAGGGTATTCAATAATGCATGAGGGTATTCTATATCAGTGCATTCCATATGAAAGGTTTCAAGATACATAGAGAATATATTCTACAGGACATCCTATAAGATATTCTATATAGTGTCTTGTATAGAGTGTCCTATAGGGTATGTGTAATAGAATGCGTGCGGGGTGTATCATATATAGGTGGTCTTGTATACGGTGTGCGACAGGATATTCAGATGGATTTGTACAAGATACAAAAGTTATGAGAGTGGAATTTTGCAAAGTGTTCTAAAATGTAATCTAAAGGGTACTATGTTGGTGAAATACAAGGTGTTGAGCCCTGAAAGTATCGATAGATTTCGTGTTCACGGACATTATCTATAATCTCGATGCGTCTCATATATATGGGAGGTGTAGAAATAGGGCCGTCTTTTCATATCGATACTTGTCGTGATACTATGTTATATGGGATGATATATTTTTGCTTTCCTGTTGCGTGTTACCTTCAGAGCCCATACTGCTGCATGCAAAAACCTATACACACACAGAACATGCATGCAAGCTTGCGTTCTTTTGCAACACGAGAAGAAGCCGTACGCGAATGTATGTCGCTTGGAAAACTCAAGGTGTATATGAAGGAAACGCAGAATGTAGGATCTGCGAAATCTTTGGTGCAGTCGCAGCGTATTTAGGCCAGTACCTGGGCAGGGCAGGCGTGGATCTTGGGGGGGGGGTGAGCTATATGGTCACCCCCCCCCCCCAAGATGAGCATATATATATATATATGTGCATATACGCAAATACATACATCCCGACAAACAGGTACATACAGACACGCAAACTCACACATACATTCAATGCAAATTACCCTTCCCTCAGGAGGGACCCTCATATAGTACCCTAAATAGTAGTCGGGTCCTTTTTTAAAGGACCAAAGATAAGATACCCCTCATGTTCGGAAACTCCAATTTAAGTCCCAGGCTGTAGAAAAGAATGGCCGACCCCAGTACCTGCTCACACAACAGCAGGCTCGGACTGGCATTCAGATTCGTTCACTAGCGGGCTCCCGAAAAGGCAGGTTTCTTATGGGCTGAGTGGCCTAAACAGCTTGACCTTTCATTTAACGTATAGCAGGATTACAAAAAGCCTTTAAAGGGTGAACGGTTGCCTACTCGGCCCCTAAAATTTAGTGCTTCGGCATAAGGAGGAGAGCCTCATTGACATTTCGGGATGTGCTTGCGGCAAAACGATTCCAGAGCTTTTAGAGGGGGGCAAGATTTCTATCATAACGCTCATCACGATTGCAGAGGCTGGCATGAGTGCTGTCCCTCTAGATACGATAGCAATCCGATAGCACTAGCTGCTTTAAGCTTTCAGGGTTAACCGTTAACCGGCAAAGATGCGCTTGCGGTTGTTGGGGGCGCGGGGATCCCCCAACATCACGCCCGACACCAGCCTTCGGGCAATCCTGACGTGAGAGGGCCTACGTACAAGCAGATCTGCAAGACCCGAAACCCTAAATGCTAAACCCTCAAGGGACGTACATACAGTCTGAAAGCCCGGCTCAATGACAACCAGCACTGGATTCAGAAACAGCTACCTTCGGGTCTGATGGCAGCCATACGAAGCCCCCACAGCTCCCCATCCCCCGAATGAATCCTCTCATAGAACCCAAAGCACGCAACCGTCAGCAACCTTCCTGGAGAGGAAGCCGCTTGAGACCCAACAATTAAATAGAAGCATGAACACAAAATCTGGCCCATGATGGTCCCGGGGCCTACATACACCTGAGCTTCACCTTAACAGGCTGGTGAACCCTCACCCGAAACCATAGAACCCCCCTGCCCCGATCCGTGGAAAGCCCTTAACCCTAAATCCTGCAGAACGTAGTACCCCGAAGCGAACCCGGAACTCTCGCTGAAGCTATGCTTAATCATCCTCAAACCCCTTTACAGCCTTGAACCGAACCTTTAAAGGAAGCCTGTATAGGAACCCTGACAAAACCCTCTTACAACCTTCAACTGCACGCTTCAAGGAAGCTTTTGAGGAACCCTTATAGGAACTCTGATAGGCCATTGGAACCCCCACCCCTAAGGGAGTTTCCGCAAACCAGGGGTACCTTATTTGGGATCCTTATAGCAAGGATCCTATTATTTCGGGTAACTCGAAACCCACGGGCCCCGGCCGTCGGCCCCACCACGTTTCGCTCGGAGCGCGTCAGCGCGGGTGCGAAGTAGAGCGCGGCCTCGCGAGCTCAGGGTGCAGTTTACATATCCTTTGTTTAGGGTTTAGGGGTTTAGGGTTTAGGGTTTAGGGTTTAGGGTTTATGCAGCACTATCATAGTGGTCTTAATAGGGATTTCAGAGCTAGGAATTCGAAACCTTTTTCGGTAGAGGGGACCGTAGCTCCCTGGAGATGGCGGATGGGAAATGCCCTACACCCTAAGCTCTTACGGATCTCCTAGAGGAACCCTTCATAAAGAAAGCCTAGGAAAACAAAAAAAGCTACCCCCCGAAGGGCTCTGGCCTCAAAGAGGGCATAGGGGAACGCGATGAGAAGCCCGACGGAGAAGGCAACCTGCATTGACAGTATAGATGCGCCTGCAGGAAGACCTTAACCCAAAGGCGCCGAGTAACAGTATAGTATTGTATAATATAGTACAGTATGGTACATATTTTGGGACCCAGATACCTCCCTAAGAGCCGCCTTTGCTGATACATGGACCCTTTGGGTAAGACACGTGTCGGGGAAGCGAGGTGATGGCTGTCTGGCGTTCAGTACCCTCCAAGTCGCAGCTAAACCGAGACAAAAGCCTCGTTCGACTCAGCAAAAAGGCTCCGCACTGTGACACAGCCGCCACAAACTCCAGAGCAAATGAGGGTCTGTTTACTATACGGGCCTTAATAATTAGAATAGGGGTTTTGGAGGCCCCTTGTTATAGTTCTAGTATAACACTTTACCCCCAAACCCTACCTTTTCATTAAGGTCCCTACATTACATCTGTGTATGTTTGGCTGGCAGCCTTGACGGAGACGAAGAAGAACTCGCCGGGAGCCAGCTGAACAAACTTGACCTCGGCATCGGCTGTGCCCTAACTAAACACTAAATTTTAACAGCCTCCAACAGATCTCGAGACCGGACCCTGGCTAGGGTGAGATCCTTCTACACTACACTTTATTGGACACTCGCCTGCTGGCTTGCCGTACACTTCGAACCCCAATTCCCTAAGATTCCCTAAGACGAACGTGCCGGCAGGAGCGCCACATTTCCGCGCTTTTTCTCTATCTGACTGCAGGTTGAAAGCAAGATCCATGGCTGTAGCAGAAGGAGGCACAGCACACATTTTGAATGATTAAACCAACCAGCCTTATGAAAACGAGGCAGCTGCACTGAGAATCAACGGCCTTTTGCTCCCGGCGCGTTGCTTTTCCAACTGCATCGAACTGCACACTGCCGCACGCTCTATGTACACCCGCCGCATGACAGGACGAAGGATCCAGTGTTGTTCGAGCACTGTCTCGCCGCCGAAAGCTTTGTCCGCAAGTTGGTGGCGGCGCACTCGCCAGCTCGGACGGCTCCGTCCGAGATACCGTGAAACCCTGAAAGCCACATCCCTGAACCTCCCCATCACCAAAGCAAGCCCAAAGCGATCAAGCCTCAAAGGTGCTGCCATCTGTCCACGTCACGGAAGCCGGCCTCCCGACACTCCACTTGGCTGAACCCGCCCAGCAAGCACTCCCGGGTGTTGAAGCCGGCCTCCCTGCAGGGATCGGCCCGGTCGAGGAAACAAACATAGCAAATGAAAACAACGAGAATGGTGCTGGAAATAAAAAAACCTGGAAGCGATAGCAGCAGCAGCAGCAGCAGGCGCAGCAGTCGTCGGCGTCATCGTCTCGGTCGTGATAGTATGGTGGTAGCAGTAGTGGTACGAGTAGTACAGTAGTAGTAGTAGAAGTAGTAGTAGTAGTAGAAGTAGTAGTAGTAGTAGTAGTAGTAGTGGTAGAAGTAGTTCTAGTAGTTCTAGTAGTTCTAGTAGTTCCAGTAGTTCTAGTAGTTCTAGTAGTTCTAGTAGTTCCAGTAGTTCCAGTAGTTCAAGTAGTTCTAGTAGTTCTAGTAGTTCTAGTAGTTCTAGTAGTTCTAGTAGTTCTAGTAGTTCTAGTAGTTCTAGTAGTTCTAGTAGTTCTAGTAGTTCTAGTAGTTCTAGTAGTTCTAGTAGTTCTAGTAGTTCTAGTAATTCTAGTAGTTCTAGTAGTTCTAGTAGTTCTAGTAGTTCTAGTAGTTCTAGTAGTTCTAGTACTAGTAGTTCTAGTACTAGTAGTAGTAGTAGTAGTAGTAGTAGTAGTAGTAGTAGTAGTAGTAGTAGTAGTAGTAGCAGTAGTAGTAGAAGTAGTAGTAGTAGTAGTAGTAGTAGTAGTAGTAGTAGTAGTAGTAGTAGTAGTAGTAGAAGGAGTAGTAGTAGTAGTAGTAGTAGTAGTAGTAGTAGTAGTAGTAGTAGTAGTAGTAGTAGTAGTAGTAGTTGCAGCAGCAGCAGCTGCAGTAGTAGTAGTAGTTGCAGCAGCAGCAGCTGCAGTAGTAGCAGTAGTAGTAGTAGTAGTGGTAGTAGTAGTAGTAGTAGTAGTAGTAGCTGCAGCAGCAGCAGCAGGAGGAGGAGGAGTAGTAGTAGTAGTAGCAGTAGTAGTAGCAGACGTAGTGGTCGTCCTAATCGTCGTAGTTGCTGCTCTTGTAGCAGCAGCAGAGCTCGCCAAGAGCTCAAAGAGAAACTCCTCACCCCAGTCACAAACAAAGAAGCACCCAAGGGCCTCAGCCTGAAACCTCCCAAACTTTAGAGTCTCTTCAGGGGCCCCGCATCCAGCTCAGTCGATTCATAAAGCGACATACACCTCTTTTGCTTCAACATCAAAGACGCGCAAGAAATCCGCCCAACCCCAAACTCTAAGCCCTCAACCCCCGAATCCCCCTAGACTCTCAACCCTACACCCTCAACCCTAAACCCTAACCCCCCAAACCTTCAACCAAAAACCCAAAAAAACCCTAAAACCTTCACCTCAACGGTAAATCGTTAAACCTTCAACCCTAAACCCTAAAACCCCCTAAACCCTAAACCTTCAACCCTAAACCTTCAACCCTAAACCTCAAACCCTAAATCTTCAACCCTAAACCTAGACACCCTAAACCTTCAACCCTAAAGCTCCGCGCCTGCAGCGAGCCGCAGAGGCGCCAGCGTCGCGGCAGTCCTCGGCGGTGTAGCCCGCAGTGCGACAGTCTTCCAGGCTGAAGCCAACCGCCTCAGACATTTAGGGTTTTGGGGTTTAAAGTGCAATGAGTCTCAACAAAAATGCTTCGACTTCGCAATTGCGTTTCACTTTGTGGCCTTGACATTACTTCTGGGCTTGGCCATGGCCCCGTGCATCGGACACACCAGGCCCTCTCGCCGTAAATCGACCATCTGACACCCTCCTCCCCAGGCATCTCTTGCTTTTTTAATCACGCATCAAGATGTACACTGAGGTACGGCACCATATAGTTGAGCACACACATCAATGTTCCTTGCCACCATGGCACCTCGCAAAAGGCAACCGTAGTCAGCAGCCCTGCATCTCTACCTTGCCAAAGATTTGAAATTACAGGGATAAAGCGATTTTGGGCCGTGGGATCGGGTGCAGAATTTAGCGGTGGAGGTTCAGAACTTGGGGTCAAATTTGGGGTCGAAACTTTAGGGAAAATTTAGGCTCCAGTGTGGGGTTTCGGGTGCTTTGGCTTCGTGTTGTTGCCTAAACCCTAAACCCTAATCCTTAAACCCTAAACGGCTTCTGCTTCTCCCCCCCCAATGATTTGCAGCTTGCCGGGTTCACGTTTTTCGGGGCACTGGGCCTCCAAACCCGAATCACCAGGCCTGAAATGAAAGGGCCATGGAGCCCAAGCAGGTATTGGGGGTTTTGGGTGACATCCCCTTAAAATGCTTGTGCTTAGGTCCTTTTTGGGGGTCCCCAACCTTAGTTGAAAGGCTGCCAAGGATAAGCCAGCGGCATTCTTTGCAGGAATAGCCGCCTACCCGGCACTGGCGGACTGTGAAGCCTGCCTGCAACGAACGGCCGAGGGGTTGATGCAGGGTGAAGGCCTTCGTCCTCGGGCTTAGGGTATATACCATACCTTGACCTACCAAAACCTACCTTTTTGTAGGGTCCCTATAAAATCCATACAAGGGTTTAATAAGAACCCACAAAAAGCAGGGTTTGGTAGGTCAAGGTATGTTATATACCCGGGGTCTATGAGTTTCACCAAAAGTAAAAGATGGGTTTGGTCTTGGCTGTGCACCTGGATACACTCCTTGCAGGTGTAGCCCACTTCCCGGCACCTGCAGGGGTTCTTTGCTCCCCGTTTATTTAGGACATTAAAAAATCATAAAACCATCCTACACTCAACCCCCCAGAATATCCCTTCATAAACGCTAAACCCTAAACACCCCTACTCCTAAACTCTGAGCCTTTCATAAACTCCCACATGGGAGTTTCCAAACATAGGGGATTCTAGAACAGTACCCTAAATTGTAGGATCCTTACTATAAGGACCCCAAAATAAGGTAGCCCTAATTCGTAGTTGCTGAGTTCCTAAGCCCCCAAAAGTGTACACCTTCAGTTTTACAGTGGGTAATAATATCCGTAAAATGTATCCACTCAGCTACTAAACCCTAAACCCTACTTAAAGGGTCATGGGACTTAGTAACCAGGGTTATAATTAAGATAAATACACTTGTATTCAGTTATAACCCCAATCAAGGTACTTATAGCAATACTTACTAAGTCCCATGATCCTCCAAGTAGGAGTTTTCATAAGCTCCCACATGGCCGTGGTAGTGATCAGGCCCTCGTCTCGGCAGTCGCTGCAGGAGCGACCCAGGAGCCTCCATGCCGAGAGCACCTCTCAGGGAGATCCTCTGCAGCTTCCCAGAAATTCCCCGGGAGGATCTAAAAAGTAGATCCCCTAATTTGGGGCTTAGTAGGGTTCCTTAAAGGGATCCTTTAAGGGATCCTTTAGGGTTTAGGGTTTAGGGATCTATAAGGGAAAGTAGATCCCCTGATTTGGGGCCCTATACTACGGAGGGTACGAAAAAGGAACCCCCATTAAGGGATCTACTTTTTGGATCTTCCCGGGGGTCTGGTTGCTACAATGGCGGGTGCCTTACCCGGAGACTCCAATATCCCTTAATTAAGGAATACCTTAAACTATAGTAGGATCCCGAATATGATTTGAGGAATATTACTGAATTAAGGGATATTGGAATCTCAGGGTATGGCCTTCAAGGGGTCCCATGATGCCGTTCCTCAGGCTCCTTATAAGGATCGGGTATTATATACGGCTCTACAGTACGGTTACCTGCAAGGGTACTCTAGAATCCTATTCAGCGTCCCCTTTGAAGAAAAGCGCCCTACTATGTCCATATTATGGGAATTCAGGCCCCCCCCCCCCCCCGGCACCCTCCTGAGGGCCCTTATGATACGAGAGGCCTTGAATATTTCATAATACAAGACAGCCCGATGCTGTCGCGGGCAGATTTGTAAGAAATCATGAGAATCGCTTGTCTTGGATTTCTTGCGTTTCTGCCTTGCACACGAGTCCCCAAGAGACTTTTCGTCAAACAATGGACGCTGATGTCAGCCAGCATGAGTAGAATCTGTACTAACCATAAGAACTACCTTATAATGAACAGGAGTCGGATCCGCATTATAGAGACTCCAAAATAACGCACGCCTACTTCGAAGAAAGTCCCCGAATCGCCCAAGCATTCTTGAACTCTAAACCTCCAACCCCCAACCCCAAACCCTGACAGGATCCCTGAACCTCCAAGGCAGGATATCCCGCGGCTGACCTGGGGGCAGCGCTTTAAGGCTCACGGTCTCAGAGACTTTTCTTGATTTTGGTCTTACTGTAGGGGTGATCCAGGCCCCCCACAAGATTGACCTGAGGATGCTTGAGGACTCAAGCTTTCGGATCCCTTGGCATATGCCAGGTGAGAAGTGATGTGAACAGTCTTTAGAAGGAAACCGGGGATGTCACAGCGCTGACACGAGCCCTTGTACACGACCCTCTTGCAACGTTGGTGCGGGATGAAGTCAAATTTGAAGGGTAATGCGCGCGAGCTGCTCGACCCCGTTGCTGTCTCTGTCTGCTGCGGTTTCCGCTCGCATCAATCTGAAGCTCTTGCACCAGTATGTGCTCAAGGCAATGGGTGCTGCAAATAGGTGGGGGCATTTAACCATGTAATTATGTAACAAACACCTCCTCCCTCTCCGACGAATGCTCACGGCGTTGAGC